AAAAAAAAATAAAACTCGTTGATAATTCATACAACAGAAGTTGGAAATTAACTTACCATCTCGAGTTTCATAACAACTCTGTTATGAGTCATTTTTTTTCAGGGACGAAATAATTGCTTATTCAAAGGACGATTCAAAATGTGCTACACTCATCACCATACCAGAGGGCAAAGAAAAGAAACAGTTCATAAGGGTTTGTTTTAATTTTTTTTATAACTTTTCGTAGACTTCGAAGGTTTTTTTTCTTTTTTTTTTTGAGAAATTTGAATCTTTTTTGCCTTCAGTTTTTGCTTTTGCGCTATTTTTATGCAAATTGTATTTTTCCTGCAAAGTACTGAGAAGGGCAAGGCGGTTTCGAGCTTGAATTTTTCCATTTTTTAATGCATGAACTCAAACTCCGACTTTTCCTAATTTGAAGGAGAGGAGGAAGTAACAAGTTGAAAAATGTGCCTTTTGTGTAGAATTGTCTGTTTAAAGGTATTCGATCAAAAAGAGCACATTGAACTGTGCTGTGTTGATGTAACAGCGCCAAAGAAACACGGCATAATACATAAAGACGGTAAGCATTCGTGGTTTTTTTCAAATGTTCCGTAAAATTTTCCCAATTTTTGCTCTTCGTATTGTCATTTTATATTTATTAATGGAACTAAACACCATATGTTACGTACTTGGTTAGATTGTATAAGTAAAGTAAAAGAATAAAAAAGTACACGATTGGGAAAGATTTATGATTATTGCAATGATTTACACCACAAAATATTTGTTCATCGAGCAAGAAATACGCATTTCATGCGTTTGTTTATTAAGAAAAACACCAGATTAATGCACTAATTTCAGTGCTTTTTTTATGAGCGTTTTTGTGAATGCTGTATTTTCAGCTGAATTTGGCGGTTTGAAATGGTCAGATGGCGGGGGACATCTGCTGTATACGGCTGAAAAATTTGTCAAAAGAAAGGAATATTATGATGCGGAGCTGGATTGGAGCAATGAAGAAAAATTCCTGGAATCGAATGTTGTAAGGCTTTTTCTTATAAAAATAATTGCCAAAGTACTAAGCTGAAGATTGCTGTGTTAATTTAAACATTCCGAGAAAAATGAGCGAAAACCTCCGTATTATTTATCTTTGATTTTTCAAAAACCCTTGCATATCTTCCGGAATATTTTCTAACTTTTTTTCTGACTCTTTATTTTTCAAATTTGAAAAATTATGCTCAGACATACTCCAAAATGTTTGATTTGTGGATGTACGCCTTATTCACGGAGTTCATTGAATCTGCTCATTTTTTTTTTTTTCTCTGCATCTTCCCTTTTCTTCGTTTTAAAAAGAAATCGGTGGTTATGGCGGAATGAAAAATTTGGAGTTAGCAAAAAGCATATTTTGCAGGCTTCTCCATGTTGCCTGAAAAAGACGAAAGTGATTTGTTGCTGTTGCTCTTTTGGGTTCTCAGTATCATCAGTCAATGTTTTTGCCCATTAAACCTTGTGAAAATTGTTAAGGAAGCGAATATAGGTTTTTCGGAAGAAGTGGTACTTTTTCCTCGGTTTCTCTTGTTTTATCCATAAGTTTTTAAAATGGCTTCATAAGTGCTGTACTGGTAGGAATCATGATCTTTTTTTTCTGCTGTGAGTTTTGATTCTTCAGCGTTTCTGAAATTTTTTTTTTTTTAAAAGTTTTGAAAACAATCTCAGCAAATTGTTCGTTTTGCCTTCCCTCACACTATATGATTTTGCAGGGTGAAAAGTACGAATTAGTTGAAAGTTGGGGTGAGCAACTGCACGATATCCGTCAACCAGTCCTGTGTATATTTGATGTGATCAGCGGTAGCGTTACTGTGCTGGATCACATCCCGGACAGAATTGCACCTCTTTTTGTTAGTTTTTTTTTCCAAGCCTATGAATCTTTAGGTACGCTGTTTTTGCATAAAAGTATAGGACTAAGTTCAAGATGTAAGCCTAAACCTGGGCCTAAATCCTGTACATTCTCGACCTGTTTTTCATTTCTTCTCAAAATTGTGGATATTTTAACTATCGAAATTCTTCGTTTTTTTTTTGCAAACAAAGTTTTCTTTTTTGTTGTAGAAAATTCATTCTTACATTTTATCAGCGCGAAATTTTTAAATATTTAGTGAAGTTGATGCAAAATAATTTTACGTCAGTGATTTGGGAAACGGGTTTCTTGGAATAAATGGTATATTTTTTTGATTTTTAGAGTGTTTGGGCGCCCAATGACGAAGGCATTGTATTTTTCGGAATACGAAATGACACTGTGAAACTGGGCAAGGTATACTGCAATAACAGAAGGTTTGTTTATGAAACTACTCTTTTTTTGTTTATTTTCTATTTGAGAAAGGCGACTGACTCTCACATATACTTATTGTTAGGCATAAAAAGAGGCCAGTTACTAAATGTTGTAGAAATTTGGAAATATAAACAGTGAATATTCCTAGCAAGGAGATTGTATGAGAGCGGAGGCCTAAAACTTTGCTCCGTTTGTACGTTTTTCTTTTGTTTCTTTGTTGCCGATAATAATGAAGCCGCTGGCAGACTGCTAGATTGTGTTCTTTCCGGCGTTGAAAAGTCGAATTTATCAAATGCAGCACAGCTTTTTGTCGCACATTTAACTAATTGAAAGTCGGCCTTGGTATGAAAGAGGCTGGCATGAAATTGTTAGAAGATTGGGGGTCAAAAAAAAAATGTGAACTTTTTAACTCATTTGTCTTTTTCATTTAGTGGGACGCTTTACTACTACGAATTGAGCTCGGCAAAATTGATTCCTGTGAGCGAAGAAGATGTGGCAATCGAGCGGATCACTTTTTCACCCGATAACTCGAAATTGGTCTACTTCCAACGTGAAGCTGGCGGGCCTCACAATGCAACAGTCTCCTGTCAAGTGGTTAGCAGCTAGCTTTGATTAAAATTAACGGGAAAAAATCATCAAAAACACACTTGATTTGTTTGCTTTGACAACTGTTTCACATCGTCGCATTGCTTCTGGCCATTCCTGCATCTGGCACTTCGCCATTCTTCTCTGCTTAAAATCTTCTGCGTCACAAAATTTTATGAAAATACCATTACTCTTGTCCTTTCGGGTTTTTTGCTGTTGTTACCATTATAATTGTTATTGTTATCATTATTACTATTATTATTGTCATTATTATCATTGTCATTATTATTATTATTATCTCGTTTGTTTGCAGATTGATTGGAACAGAATTCAACAACAGACCGTAATTGCAATTATTGGAGGGTCTTCAGGTACAGTGCTTTGTATTTCTGGTTTTCTCAGTCCTTGTGAAAAGAGGATGAGATTTGCTTTCGCTGTTTCTAAACATCTGATTTTACTTCTACTAACCTACTTGGGCTTTATTAATAACGATTTGTCTGTAGATTCTTCGGAGCAGTTTCCCGGGTTGCATGATGTGCAAGTAGCCGAAAGATGTTGGTCGAACGACAATAAGAGGATTTTTGTTTCATCTATATGGGGCTCGAAAAGGGTAAAAGCTTGCCTGAAATTTTTACACATCGAATCGATACAGATTTTAATGTTGTCAGCGGTAGTGTAGTTATAATTTTCAGGAAATTCTTGCAATTGATACGAGCAGTGGAAGCGTAACGAAAATTACCAATCAAGGTAAGCACTGCCCAGCAGAATATGAGATATAGCAATCGTAGCAAAACCACTCGGGCCGTTGGGATGGGCGAGGGGCGTGGAGGATGCATGTTAGTGGTGTTACTGGGATGCTTTTATGCGCCGAAGCAGCTGTGCCTGGCTTTTCGATACTGAAATGGAATACCCCTAGTTCTGCTAGAAGTACCATTTTTGGTATTTAAAATTTCAGTGGCAGTAAACGGGCATTGGCTTGGGTTTTGACACGTTTTTCTGGTAAAGATATTCACTGAACTCTCTTAAAATATTGCTACAACAGGTGCTCTGCTTGAGGTAATTGCGTTTCTTATTTTCAGGTAACCTGCATGGGTGCTGGTCTGTTCTTGATGTGTACGAAGATTACCTAGTAGCAGTTTGTAGTGCTCCAGATCGCCCACCAACTGTGCTTGTTGGACATATTCCGAATTGTGGTGACGAAGAGAAGGTGAATATTTCTTGCGATACTTCTCATTCCTTTTGACAGTCGCTGTGATAAGATTTAATTTCATTTATAGTCCCCTCTCCCCCCCCC